CCACTTTTTGGTTGTCTGTCCCCCAGGGAGGAGGTCACACACAGTTCCATGTAATCGGTTCCCTCTTCCCTACCCATTCTCCCTTTACCATCCCGATTGCACATCTTTTTTTATGGGATTTTGATTTAACCAGAAAGGTGGTAGAGTGGCTTCAGTTTTCACAAAGATACAATAAAATTCTGCTCAATGTCCTATGATTTAACTCATAAAGACATACACATTGGAGGATCTTGCTTATTTGCTTTACTTCTCCATCCACTATGTCTCACTATTTGACAATACCTTTTAACAAAGAAGTATGATTATTTGACATTAAGACAACATTTTTGATCTTCTGATATTAAAAGGATAAATAGCATTAAGGTATTTGTTTATAAAGAATGTCTAAATGCAAACTGAAAATAAACTCCACCCACTAATTTGGTAACATCATTTATAATCATAAGAGATTGATCAGAAATATAATGAGAAGAATGAAGAATTCCATTTCCCATTTAGTATAATAATCTCTGTATTTTCCCTAAAGTTTACATTTCAGAAACTTTCTTTAAAAAGGCACAAATAATTCCTTGTGCATGAATGTATGTCACTTTAGGCTTGTAAATTTATACAATGGTCTATACGTTCCATGAAAAGGAAAGTTCCATTGGTCAGTGTAAGACACGGTATGATAACAATTCATAAATTATCAAGGGTTCATGTGGGAGGGAGGGTGAGGGAGGGAAGTAAAAAAACCCTGAGGAGCTGATACCAAGGGCTCAAGCAGAAAGAAAATGTTTTGAAAATGATGATGGCAACAAATGTGCAAGTGTGCTTGACACAATGGACGGATGGATTATGATAAGAGCTGTATGAGTCCACAATAAAATGTTAAAAAAAAAGTTCTTTGTCTGATATCTTACCTTTTTTCTGGATCTTTCTGAAGGCACAATGAAATCATTTTTCTAAATGATTTCCCATATTTTTTCAGCATGTCTTTATCTTGAACACCAGTTTCCAAAGAAGGAGGATCATTTTGTAATGTCAGCATTAAAACCTGCAAAACATTTTAATATCTTATAAACTTCTGAAGAATCAGATGTTTGTTAAATATTGTAGTTAAGATCTTTTCAATATAGGCAACCCTGCAACACAAGACTGACTTTCTAAACGTACACGTTCTAGTTCAGTTGTTCAGAACTGAGGATTCTGTGAGTGCTTCCACAAATAACCTGCTATAGAGGTTGGGTTCCCAGACGTGTGCATATAGGACATTGCTTAGTCCTTCCATTAGAACCCTTTGCTTCTTCAAGTCCTCCACCTCATCCGTATGCTGCCAAACTAGCACTCTGAGCCTATGGCCCGAGCCAACACCGATGGTGGCCTGACCGGGCCTTTCCTGACCCCTTTCTCCTGATCGCTTTCTCTTCGCAGAATGTCTCACACACTTCTCTCTCAGAAAACAAACCCACCCTCCTTTAAAAAAGCCATTTCTTTGCCCTGAAAAGTCTCCGGCTTACAGTTATAAAAACACATCCTGTTCAAAACTGTGCAAATAGCCACTTACTCCTCAGTGTCTTCAACCTCGACACAGAGCAGGACCTTAAAATATCACTAATTTTCCACTTGAGCAAAATCTCACCTACCAAGCAGGCAGATAAATATAGGTATGCCCATGTTTTGAATATGGAGAGAAGATAGAGAAGATATGTGTTAGCGCTTTCTGCTGGGTTTATTCCTCTCAATAGTTAGAACCTTAAGAGAGAGAATAGGTTCTTGAATAAGTTCTAAAGTGTATCAAAGCATATGGATGAAAACCACCACCGTAACAGATTAAACAAAACAAAAACATGTAGATGTGAGTAAAACTAATACAACAGAGGTCAACCTTTCCCATGTTAAATAATGTCACAGAGCAAGCACACTGTGAAGTGGGCCAGAGCAGCCAAACACAAGCAGAATAGATTTCATGTGCAAAAATTTTAACTAAAAAGGCTGGACACATCCTGAAAAAATACTCTCCCACACTGTTGGCAGTGCCATCTTGACACTCAAAAACTCATTCAGTACTCAAGCTAGAAAAGGATTAGCAACCTACATCTATATCAGGGTACAGTTTGGGTTCGGGGAGGCCTACCTAGATGTCCCCCCACCCCCTGCCGTCATTGTGCTGATTCTAACTCATGGCAACACCACCTGTGCCACAGAGGTCTGAAACAGAGGTCTGAAACAGTGCTGCGTCCGGTTCCCAACAGCGGTGACCTTCCAAGAACAGACTACCAGGCCTTTCTTCTGAGGCACTCTGAGGTGAATTAAAAACCGCTGGCTTTTCAGTTACTAGACAAGCACGTTAATCGAATGTCCCGTGCCACAGAGAAAACTTCTAAATGAGAGTAATAAATGTGCCTGGCATGTAAATATTCTAGACTGATTATCTTATTTAATATATGAAAACACTCGAGATATTACCTGGAACAGATAAGCATGCTGTAATTACTAATAATACTTAATCCTCCCAATAACCTTAGGAAAATAGAAATGGTCATCATCTCTATTGAGGTTACTCTGCCCAAGTGACTGTGGGGAACACACATCAAAACGAGAGAAATCAGTCCATAATATCAACTAGTTAAAGAGCCAGAGCTGAAGACAGCCAAGGTCAGCCCAGAGCAGGTCAACTACCATGCACAGCTCCTCCAGATTCCGACTTCCCCAAGAGTAAGCAGAGTGCAAGCGGAGCCCGGTGTGCCAGAAGGGCAAAGGAAGTAACGCTCTGAGCAGGAGTTGGGACATGAGCTGGGACAGCATTCGGAATGTGCGCCTCACCTTCATTGGAGGATACTTGTGATAAGGAGCGGCCCCTGTGGCCAGTTCGATGGCTGTGATCCCGAAACTCCAGATGTCAGCTTTAAAATCATAGCCTCGGACCTGCACAGAGAGACATAGATCACTCAATCAGCCGGAAAACACTACTCAAAAGGAGTTTCTACTGTGTATTAAGAACTATGATCACGTTCACAAGCTTTAAACAAATACCTTAAAATAGGCAAAAGCTAGAAATACCAGGAAATGGGAATGGGGGAGAAGAACTCAAAGAATGACATCACTGTCGCTGAATGGTATTTGCAGAAACTGTTGGAATGATGTAAGTTTGTCTTGTGGTGGACATGTACATTCTCAACAACAAAATACGATGTAAAGGAAAAAACAGCCCCAATGGGACATAATTCTACTCTGATATACATGGAGTTACTAAAAAAAAAAGGATTATACCTTCTGCAACTCCTCAGCCAGCCACCTTCCCTGCGATCCTTCTCTGACTCAATGCAGCTTCCCACCATGGAAATGGAATGGAAAACAGTGCAATGGATACACATTCATAAACTCAGAATCTGAGTGGGGAAACTGATCAAGCAGGGCTCGGCTTATGACCTGAACCTCATCACCGTAAGTTGTGCCATATGCATGCTCCCATCGACAGAGGTAGATACAGTGACAGCTTCAGGATGGGAGGAAGGCTCATCAACAGCCTGAGATATGCAGATGAACCAGCCCTGCTTGCTGAAAGTGAGGAGGACTTTTGAAGCACTGGCTGAGGAAGATCAAGGAGTGCAGCCTTCAGTATGGCATACAACTCAATGTTAAGATCAAAATCCTCACAACTGGGCTATAGGAAACATCTTGATAAATGGAGAAAAGGTTGAAGTTTTCAAAGATTTCATCTTGCTTGGATCCCTAATCAGTGCTCATGGAAGCAGCAGTCAAGAGAGCAAATGACTCATTGCACTGGGTAAACCTGGTGCACAAGATCTCTTCAGAGTATTGATAAATATGGATGTTACTTTAAGGACTAAGGTGTGCCTGACTCAAGTCATGATATTTTCAATTGCCTCACATGAATGTGAAAGTTGATGTTGAATAAGAAAGACCAAAGAAAAATTGAGGCATTTGAATTAAGATGCTGGAGGAGAATACTGAAAGTACCGTGGACTGCCAAAAGAACGAACATCTGTCTTGGAAAGAGTACAGCCGGAATGCTCCCCATATACAAGGATGGTGAGACTTCATCGCATGTAGTGTGGACACTTTAACAGCAGAGACCAGTCCCTGGAGAAGGACATCAAGCTTGGCAAAGTAGGGGAGCAGCAAAAAAGAGGTGGGTCCTCGACAAGATGGATGGACACAGTGGCTGTACCATTGGCTCAAACATAAGAACAACAGCAAGGATGATGCAAGAGCGGTGGTGTTTCTTCTGCTGTACATAGTGTGGCTATGAGTCGCAATGACTCGATGGTATCTAATAGTCACACTCATCATCCCACAGCAGTGGCGATTTAGGAGCAGACCTGTGGAGAGACACACAGGGTGAATGGTTGTGGGCAGGAGTTTGGGGATATACCTACAAATAGGTTTACAGAGGATATCTGTATATGGGTATTTACCACTCCTGCAAGTACATCCATGGATGGGGTGCAGTACACAAGGAGAAAAATCAAGAGAACATGCTAGATATAATCAAATACCATGAAGGAGTAATCCTAGAGCCTAGAGGCTCAGGATCATAGTCTCAGGGGCCACCCAAGATCAACTGGCATATTACGATCCACAAGACAGTGCAGCTACTGGACTCTCCTGGTCCACAGAAAAGAAGAATGAAGAAAATTGAAGATGTGTGTGTGTGTGTTTTGGGGTTGGGTGGGTGGGTGGGTGGAGGGGAGGGTGTCAATAGCAATGGGTACAAGAAGAAAATGTTCCAAAATTGACTGTGGTAATAAATGCACACCCTTCTTAATATGATTGAACTATTGAGTTTTATGATATACTAATTATATCTCAATAAAACAATTTTTAAAAAGAAAATGGAAGGTGCATGGAAACTATCCGTCCAAGGAATTGACTTTGAGACCAGAAAAACTAGATGGTGCCCAGCTACCACAACCAACTGCTCTGAAAGGGATCCCATTAGAAGGTCCTGGAGAGAATGGAAGAAAAATGTGGAACAAAATTCAGATCAGGCTTACTGGTTGAAGAAAGAGTAGTATAACCCCCAAGACTATGTGGCCTTTAGCCACCTTTCAGGTCTAGAGACTCACCCCCATGGCTCAATTTTTAGCCAAATAAAATAAGAGGGGTAAAAGGGGAGCAATAACCCTAGGGAGTATGTAGATAGTAGAATAATCAACTATTTGGTATCAAAGGGCAACATTCAGTTAGGAAAGAAGGAGGAATGGAGACTGGAAACACAGGGAAGAAATGGGATACGGGGAGTTACACTGTGAGCATTACAATCAGTGATATGAAGCAAAAACATGTACCGATTGTAGAATGGAAAACTGCTCTGCTCTGTAAACCTTTACCCAATTCACAATAAAAAGTGAGCCCAACATTGATTATATTATTCTTTAGATTGTCTGGTAGAAATCCTGAGTGCCATATCCTTCATGTAGTTCTAATGGATTTTTTTGTTGGTTTTTATTCGGAGGTTAATCAAAGTCTTAACCAAGGAACAGAGATGCATTTTTCAAAGCTAACCTGTTAAATCAAACAAGAGACAATACTACTCAGTTGCTGAATCTTTCTAACACAACCCCAAGCCATTTAATAAAAATGAAAGATACCGTACCTGCTCCATAACTTCTGGTGCCATCCAGCAAGGAGTGCCCACAAAGGTCTTTCTCACTTTATTTCGGGTAATGTCACCACCAGTTGCTAAAAAAGCACTAACCCCAAAGTCTGAAATAAAATAAAATAGTATATATAATAACTACTTATAAAGCTCAAACCCTATGCCCAATCATTTGTCAACTCTTCTGTTATCCAACATTTTGCATTTATAATAGTAAAACTGTTCTGGGTTTCTTTCTCAATGAGGAGGTGGGCATGGTGGCAATGTCAGCAGAGAGGCAAGTGAGCAGCAGCCTTGCAGGGCTGGTGGACGGCCAGGCAGCCTAGAGCCAGCAGGGGAGTGTTCGGTCTCCAGCTCTATGCGGACCTAAGCTTCCAGCTCAGGATTGTGGTGACGAGGAAGAGAGGTAAGAAAGACGCAGAGGAGAGGGCGTTTGGAAGAAATGCATGCAAGTTTCATGACACGCTAATGTGAACCAAAATGACCCCAACCCTCCATGTTGGTGCGGCTGGCAGAATCTCAGGAAGCCCTCAGCCAGGTGGCCTGCCAGGCCTGAGGGCAGAACAGCGCCCGGATCCTTAACACCAGGCTTTCAGAGTGGGAAAGGAGCCCTGTAGGCCAGGGGCTCCTAGCGGGAGCAAGCTCTGACCCAACCCTGGAGGAAGGTGTGACGTGGTTAAGGCACCGGCCCTCCAGTCACTCGCACTGCTTCATGCGAAGTTTCTCCTCCAAGCCTCCATTTGGGGTGCTAACTGCAGGTCAGTTCAAACCCACAACTGCTCCAAGGAAAAAAGTGGTGGGATCTATAAAGAGCTGTATCCTCGGAGACCCCACACAGAGTTACCACGAGTCCTAATCGACCAGGGGCAATGAGCACTTCACTAAGTCTTAGCTCTTATTATTTCAATGATCACAATTTCTTAAAAAATATGTGATAGATGGTCTCCAAACAGGAAGGTGAAAAAACAAAAACAAAAAAACCCCTCCATTTTTGGGTAGCACCAGAAAGTGAAAGAGTGGGTGTTTTCACATCTTTCTGATGGTTTCGCTCAGGCAGGGCACAGCTGAGCAGTCTCTCTCTCATTCTTCTTCACCCCCACACCGCCTCTTCAGATTGTCCTCCCCACAGCAATGCACGCTACCCACCAGCACCCGATTTTCACATTTTATTATCACTTTGACCGTGGTCCGCTCAGCTCAAAAAGATTAGTTTATCTTAATACCCTGCAGAACACAATCTAAACGTCATGGCTTGGCATTCAAAAAGTTCTCAGGAACCTGGCCCCAAATAAGTTAGTCAGCAATCCTAAAGCCATGTGTGAGAATGGGAAGGTCAGGGCCTTCCCTACAAAGACAGCTTTCTCCAAATAGGAAGAGTAATGGCCACGAACTGAGAGGGGCGATTGCGACTCGAAAAGGGAGTCTATTGGCCCTGCTTGAGTTTGACCCTTGGGAATGGTAGCTCTGAGCCAGTCAGCCACGTACGCCGCGACGGTCACAGTCTCTTCTGGAACACTGAAAGAGGGCCACTGGTGTAGAGCCTGTACTCCTCCCACTAGCTATAAATGCACCTGAGCAAGGTATTTTTGATCTCTGTGTTAGGTTTCTTCATTTGTAAGAAGCAGAAAATAACAGCATCTACCTAGTATGGTTCGTATAAGACTTAAATGAATTAATAATATATCTAGAATAGCCAGTTGTTCAAAACTACTAGCCATTCCTCAGGACAAAGACGAGGCTATCTGTTTCCTTACACTCTCAGAAGCTGTAATAGCATCAGGCAGTGGGTTTGGGTCTTGAGCTGAGTCTAATGGCAACAAGCTGGAGGGAGGTTATCAGCGAACTAGGTTCTGGACCATCCAGAAACCTTGGCATTTAGTTTATTCTTGCTTCTTCAAATGGTTCAAAGAATTACTTTCTTGACTAAATAGGCCAGTGGAGATTTATCACGCAACTAAAAGAACCTTAAGGAATATTGTGAGGTTCTTATATGGTAGTCTGACTCCCTTTGTGCTTTAAGTCTGTTTCAGAATACTTCACAGGATATAAACTGGATCTATATTTGAAAATAGGATAAATTATGAACAAGTGTTAAGAAGGATTATTTTAGGAAAGCATTCTTTAAGTTTCCGGAAAGCTAAAAATTCAGATCCTCTTGAAACAACTGCTATAAAAATCAAATTAGCATAAACTTTACAAAACTACCTCATGGAGGGAGGATGCAGTTGGAAAACAGAGAAGGGTGCATGTAATTTGTGTAAAAGTGTCATATATCCTTGTCATCACATAAAACATCAAGTTTTTACAACACAGACTTAAGTAAACAATAATATCACTGGGCGCTCTCAATACTCCTAAACTGATGAATGTCTAGGTACTTTAAAATGCTGCTACATTTATAACAACAATATTTTAAAAACATTTCAAAGTACATAGGGGGTGGGGGGGACAGAGTGCGTGTAGTGTGTAACCAGTCCTTCCACTAGTTATAACTGACCCTGGGCCCTTTATGTTAAGTTTTTTCATCTGTTAAGAAGCAGAAAATAACAGTATCTACCTAATAGGGTTATTATAAGACTCAAATGAATTAATAATATACTTAGAATGGTCTCTGGAATATAATAAAGCACTAAACAGATGCTAGGTATTTTTATTACTCATTAATGGAACAAAGCTATGTCTTTAAATACATACACACACTTCCTCACATACTGAATTATCCAACATTTTCTCACACAGAACAACAGTAAAAACTCTATTATAAATTTTGCTTATTAATGATGTGCGTGTTGGCAGTAAAGAATGCTGAGGTACAAGTTGAAGTTAGCATGGGCTTACAAGGTTATGGGTCAAAATGGCCAGGATTCTTAGTGGTTTGGCAGTTAGTTATATAATGAAGTAGTCAACCTCCATTTGTGATCTGATGTGGTCATCCTCCATTTTCACAGAATGCCGATTTCCATTTAACAGACTGGTCTTTGGAACATAGCCACATCAATTAGTGAGGCATAGGTATATATAGACCATTAAATGAAGTTATATACAGTATGATTATTACGTTCTCTTATAACATTTAAAATATTATACAGTCTACCAAATGATAACACAATGTCCAGAATTTTACTGTAATTAAAAACATGTTCCACATATTTTAGCTCATTCGTTTGTACACCTCTTCTTGTTTTCGAACAGGATAATAAAATCCTGAAGATTCTAGTTAAACATTTAGCTGTGGCATGTAAGTTAAAATGTCCACTTTATCACACTGCTCTTTTGTTAAATAATCTGTACAGCCACTGTACCAAAGAAAATAATGTCAGTGCAACTATCAATGTGAGAACAGAACCGAGAAGCAACACCTGTTGTGCCTTTTACCTTATGCTACCAACTAGAGAAGAAATACATAACTAAACCACATTTGTAAGAAATAATTTGGCTTCTTTGTTAACATAATTTCAATGAAAGTACAAGCTGTATGCTGGTGTCTAATACTACGTGATACGATCAAAAGTGATGATCATAAGTGATGGTTCCTTGAACTTGTGCAATTTATAACATCAAGTGGAATCGGGGAGTTATAATAGAGAATATAATAAATGCTACTTCAACCATGCTGCAAAGAGTTGTTACGTCCCATGTATTTTTAATTTAGTTAAAACCATATGGTTCAATTTGGTTAAAACAGTATGTAAGAAACCAAATGTCACAAAATTCAATAGTAATTAATGAAAACCTCTTAGTGATAAATCTGTTGACACAGACCTTTAGAAAATCAAAACATTAAAGTTAGGCTTTGCCATATAAGGAGTAAGTTGAATTGCTACTTTTTAAGAGTACTTACAGTTAAGTATACATGCATTCTCAATAATATGAAAATAAGCAGTGTATCGGAAAGAACTTGGCATATGACCTGCGACTTTTATGATTTACTATTTGGCCACTTTGTTGTTACTGTTGTTGGTAGGCACCATCAAGGCAATTTTGACCTATCATTGACTCCCCCTTCCCCCTCACCCAACTCCATAACAAAGCAGAATTGTCCCAAAGAGCTTGCTCGGCTTGATGGTATGGAAGCAGGTTGGCAGATCTCTCTCCAGAGGATTAACTGGTTGATGCTTCCTACTTTTCGGTATCAGCTGAGCACTCCACCATTTGTACTACCAGGGATCCTGTGGTAGTTACATAGTATGGGGTCAATTTGAAAGGATTATGAGTGAAAGGGTGGAGTCTGGCCTGTCAATCAAGATATAACTAATGAGGCCTCTGTGTGGGCATGGCCTTCTCCTGAGAATTCTGGGAAATCCTGTATTTCCTCCTTGGAAGCAGGAGATACCTCTCTCTGCTCACTCCCTGGGAGACACTGCAGCTGACAAGACACATGGAACTACTCTAGTGCCCGGAGCTAGAGAAGCCACATGGACCTACCCTGATGCAACCAGACCACTGAAGCTGGAGAAGCCATGTAGAGACTCCTGCCAGCGCTGAGATGCTCACAACGCCAAAGGATCCAAACACTTTCCTGCACTCAGCATCATTGCATGTGTTTCGTGAGTCTGAAGAGGACTTTATAGAATGGTATTGGACATATGGGCTAATATCGGACTTATGGGCTTGGATTGGACTGGGTTGAGATGCTTTCTTAATGTACAAATACCTTTTATATAAAACTCTCTCTTATACACATATGAGTGTCATGGATTTGTTTCTCTAGTCTACCCAGACTAACAAGGATCCCTACTAAAACCCTTCAGAGAGCTTGTACAGCTTGTTTGACACGTAGAAGAAGTCTACGTTTATTCATCAAAAGTCTAAAGTATAATATTTAACACACTGACTATAACTTAGCTTAAACTTAGTATCTACTGGAAATATAAAAAAAAGAAGTGGATTCTCTTAGAAGTATAATAAGAATCTGTTTCTTTCTTGGTATACATTTGTGGAAGTAAAAGCGAAATAATTATACATTCTTTTGCTTATTTTAGTGTAAAATATTCCAAAGGTATTGCAAAACAGAGAAACATATCAAACGTAAATATGCAGCTGAAGGAATTTGCATAAAACACTCATCTGTGTAACTAATACCCAAGGTAAAAAGAAAACACTGCCAGCACCAAAACGGCCCCCGAGCCTCTGTACTACAATAACCCTACTGCACAGCAATCGTCACTGTTAGCGTCTATGGTAGTCACTTCCCCGCTTCTTTAGCTTACCACTTAAGTCTGCATTAACAATCTAGTAATACTTGTGCGTGCTTTTAAACTTATATAAGTGAAATCATGTAGCATATATATTTTACTTTGATTGTTTTCTTCCACCTTCCACAAGGAAGGCTTCCAAAAATTCATGGAAAAATGAAAATAACTGATGGTAGAATTTTCCCATAAATATTTTGAACCCCCCCTCATACTAGGTTTCTATTATTTTTAATGATGTATGTAGCTATAGGTCTGTTCATGTTCACTACAAATGAAAGCAAGTATTTTTATTAATATATTGTTGGTTATCATTACTCAGTCTAGTATTACTCATTATTCTTATTGGGTGGTTTCAAACTCTTAATGGTTTTGAACATCATGGCACTCATCTGCCAGAGTTTCTCTAGGCCACACATCTAAGAACGAGAGTGTTAAGGGCCCTACCTCCAACTGCAACAGATAAAGTGGTTAAACCAATTTGTATGTCAGCACGAGCATATGCGAAATTCTTCCCTTTGCATTACACACTCAAATTGATATTGCCTAACATTTCTGCCAGCTAGGCCAGTGTAAAGTAGGATCTCCATTTGATTTTGCTTAGCATTTAATGGATTACTAAGTGGTTATGCACTGTTCAATCTATTTACAAACGATGTCTTCATTTAGGAGGTGGCCTGTGCCAGCCTTGTGCCCATTTAACTTTCACGGAATTATCTAAGACGTCATGTCTTATTTGTTGCTGAGAACAGACACAGAGCAGCCCTGGTTTCACAGCTCCTGCGGGTCCTGACTCGGTGACACCGAGCACAGCCTTTGAGCTGTGCATCACTCTCAACCTCTTTTCGGAGCAGTTCCTCCCATTTCCGAAACGCACTGCCTCCGGGCTCCCCACTGATGCTTTTAGAGTTGGTGTCAATTTGGTCCCAATATAGAAAAGTCTTCAAAGCGCATGAAGCTCAAGGCCGACAGTCTTTACTTGCTAAGTTAAACTACTGTTTGGTTTTAAGACTTCAGTGGGTTTAAAGATTATCTCAAGGAAATAGTTTTGAGTGTCATCCAGCCTTCATGGCTCTGGATCATCTCACTTTTCTTAATTAATCCTTTATGTAGTCTGAATTTGAGACTTTAGCCAGTTATTCTTGTGGCAAATAACTACTCTAATATACACTGACCTTTGACTCTATGAATATGATAAACATTCTGTTCTTTCCGTGAATAAAGTTGCTAATAATAAAAAAACATCAACAAGTCCTAAAAAAAAAAAAATTAAATAAAGACGGAAAATGGGGGGAAAAGTTGCTAATTTGAAATCAGCCAATTATGAATCTTTCCCTCTTTGGGAGCTTTTTGTGACTTGGGTAAAATATTCTCTCTTCTTGAGCACAGGAAGATGTTCACCTGAATGATCTTCTGAAAGGTGTAGGGTCTGAGTAATTATTTTCCTCCTGCCCATATACTGAACTATTCTAGAAGGTAAAGATCAAGAATTCTCAGCTACCCAAATATTCTGTTTGCTAGAAGAAAATTCTTGGATACAGCCACTCAGGATTCTCAGCTGGAAAGGAGTATAGGATGTACACCTTTGGCAGGCCCTGAACTTCCCACTCTCGTGCCTCTGGTTCTGTGAATCTGTGGAAATTATATCTCCACACCTTTTGGATACCTCTTCCCAACTGGCAAATACACCTTTTCCTCCAGAACAGAAGTAGCTCTGGAGCTCCTCTCTGTAGCACATGTATTTCTACACTCAACGAGGGCTCTTGACGGCTACTTCTTCAAAAGAAAGTACAGAACGCTATGGACACCCAGAACAGAGGACCCTGCAGTGCCAACAAGCGATTTGAAGATAATGAACAATAATCAGAAAAATGTCACAGGTCAGAAATGAAGGATAAAGAGATGATCCTCTCTAGAGTAAGACATATAAATAAAGTATAGTTTAAGATATAGGAAGTAAAATTGACTAACAGACAAAAAATAAGTAATGCAACGGTAAGGACCATTAAATAAAAATGAGAGAAGACAGTAATTATTACCTGCAATTTGTACTGAGCCATCTTCTCCAAGAAGAATATTTCCAGCTTTCACATCTCTTTTGAGAAAAATTTTAAAAAGTTATGTATCAATAAGCTCTACCAAAAATACATATTAAATCACATATAAATCCATAATCTTTTCATTCTATTTTCCTATTAACTTGTTGACGCCACCTTATAAGCAATTATTTAATCAAACAGTGGCAATATTTAAATAACTGACTTTATATAATATTAAAATCTTAACATTTAGTAAAATAGTAAAATCTTAAAAATTAAAGGCTCTTGTACTAGAATCTAAACATTTAGCAGAAAGCTATGTGAAAACCCAAGGTGATTAAACACTCTAGATTGGAATAACAGTGGCCAAGGAATGGGGCTCTCACCTAGTTTCATTTTTTGAAACACAATGATCCCCTCCCCAATAATCTAACATATGACCAATCAAACTGATCAGTATGCAGTTGAAAATAGAGCCTACTCTATACCTGTAGCCAAGAGGTATAAAAAATACAGACTATATTTTTATTACTAAAACAACTCAAATAATTCATGAATGAATTTTCTTGTTGTAAAATCCTAAACATGACGGCAACAGTAAAGTCTCTTTGATCACAATTCTCAAGTTTTAAGATTTTCTCCAAAGTTTCAGATTTATCATTCTGATCAATAGTAAGTACTTATGATACATCATTAGTAACTTTATGGTTCATTAAAATGTCCGAAGTTTTTCACCTAAGGTCTTTTCCTGTTTGAGGATCCTATTCTCATCACCAATTACATTTAGTCATCACTGGCCTTAGATTCGTCTGGGAGTCTGTGGTAGTTTCTCAGACTTCCCTTGTTTTACATGACTGTGACCGTTTTCGACTCCTGGTCAAGTGCTCTCTAAGAGTATGTCAGATGCTGTGCTAACAGACAGAATATGATGCTTCCCTCAGTCTTACATCAACGCTACAGGTTTGGTGTGTGTGTGTGTGTGTGTGTGTGTGTGTCTACAGCAGTCAAATGCCATGTTTATCACCTCATCATCAACATTATTTGTTTTTAACTACACCCCATGTTATATCACTTGGATTTTAAAAAGTCACGTGTACATATTACCTATTGACGTAACTTTCATAGGTTTTTGTCTTTCATCTGTGCAAAGAGGGGAATTTTTCAGTTTGGGTAACTCCTTTTACCGATCAAGTCCCCACATAATCCACGTTTCCTTTTTAAAAACAAACATGCAATCTATACATCAGTGTCTGGGAGCTAAAGCAGAGGAATCCCAGAAGCTGAATGACTCACTGGAAAATCAGTCACTCCACGTTCTGACCTCACACAAAACCGGGCAACTGACCTGTCATAGAAAAGATCTGTAACTAAATATTTGGAAACCAAAATAGTCCTCAGCTAAAAAAGAATCTTTTCTACCCTGCCACAACGAACACCAAGCAGCTCAGCAGCCACCAAGGTTAAATCCTAGCCCCTGGACTTGTTTTCTACAGCCTACTGCCACATCTCACATGTCACAGTGGCCCCAAAGTCACACATTCCTCTTCAAGGAGTATCCTCTCTGCACCTGCCTTTCTCACCAGTACAGAACACAAGTTTCTACCCAGGACATCTTACATCTTTATTACTCGTCAATAGGCACAGCTTCTGGAAAACTTGAGAAAGAACTGGAGAAGTCATAAGGCTGGAAAATACACTTAAATGGACTTAAAACCCCTGAAAATTTCTGTTCAAGCTAACCTCTTTGTAATGGGAGTTAAGACATGAATAGGTTTGATAGATAGAGAGAAGAATAGAAGTCTACTTTAGAGAGCCATTAATCCTCATCAAAGCCTCTGAAGTCTTGAAGTCCAAGGAAAAACCATATAGAGATGGAGGGAAATTATTTGACCTGACTTACCAGGCTAATGCACAAATGTATCTGAAGGAACAACTGGAATTTAAAGACAGAGACCCAGAAAAAGCCCAATGAAAAACATCCTTCTCCACCTCCCAATAAAACAACCTTCTCCTCAGCCTATTACAGCCTCAAGTGTATCTCAAAGTTGATTACTGCTAAGGTATAAGTACTAGTTCTCAGTGTAGGCTGCATGCTAACCCTGGGGAGCTTTAAAAAGCTCCAACACCCAGGCCCCAGCCCAGACCAATTAAATGAATCTCTGGAGGTGGACCCACACATCAATAGTTTTTCAAAGCTTCCTAGGTGATTTCAATGCATAGCTAAGGCTGAGAGCCTCTGATTTTAAAGTGGGAGCCAGAGTATTATCCCTATTATCTAATAGAGACATTTTATCACTATTACTCAGGTCCTGGTCCTAAGATCCCACCCTGCTTCAAACACAAAGAAATGCTGCATAAATTGAGAGGGGGCAATCACATAGCTAATATGAAACAAAGAAAGGAAGCTCCTCAAAGTTTAGACATAAGAAATAAAGCAGAAACGGTTGGAGACTAAATAAGGGTACTACCCTAAATGCCGGGGGGTGGGGTTGGGTCGGGGTTGGGGAGAGGCTCAGGTTTAAGGATTACACCTAGACAGAAGACGTGACACTGGGTTAACATAGGCTTGGGAGACTCCTCCAGAAAGCCACTGTAAGATGAATGTATCATAAATAAACTGGCATAGCTTTATTCTGTATCCCTGAGGATTTCTTGAGTCTATAACTCTTTATCAGAGCAGAAAATCTGTCCTCTTCCCATGTAGAGGATGGTGGTTTCAAATCGCTAACCTTGTGGTTAACAGCTCAACACACACCCACCACACCACTCGCGCTTCTTAGAACTGTGGCTCAAAACCAAAACATGGACAACACCCAATACTGGCAAGGAGGTGGAGCCATTCTCATCCACTGTTGGTGGAATTGTAAACTGGTATAGCACTTTGAAAGACAGTCTGACAGTTTATTACAAAGCTAAATACAGGCTTATCATACAACCCAGTGGTCATGTACCTAGGCATTTAACTCAGTAAGATGACGATGTACACCTGTGTAAAGACCTGCACATGAGTGTCTCTAGCAGGTTTATGGCACTCACTGGAAGAGCCCTAAGTGGGTAAGCAAACTGAGACACCTTTATACCACATCCACAGAGTATTGTCCATCAATAAAGAGAAATGAGTTACTGAGCTATGAAGTTATACCTTCAGTGCAGATTGCTAAATGAAAGAAGTCAGTGTGAAAGAGCCATATACTGTATGACTATAACGATATATTCTGGAAAAGGCAAAAAATACCTACAGTGGAAAGACTATTGGTGTGTGTGTGGGGGGGGGCGCTGGGGGGGCAATGAATTAGTTAATGTGACCAAAGTCTCTAACTCCCACCAAGCCACCTTTCGCTGCATGGGTCTGGTAAGAAGATGAGGGAAGATACTGACAAGATTCACTTGTGATTGTGAACAGAATTTCCCTGCGATGCCATTCTGCTGTGCATAACACGAGCCCTCTGAGAAGCAGGAGCACGGGTCTCAGTAGCAAGAGCCAGGAGTGGAGTGTGTCCTCTGGACCCGAGATCCCTATGCAGTGAACCTTCTGGATCCAGACGACAGCTACAAATCAGAGAAGCAGCAGCACAACCTGAAGCCAGAGCATGGAACAGAGCGACGGCCTTCCCAACCACAGAGCAAGGAAAGCTGAGTGCTTTTCTGCAGGAGGCGGCCCTTCCGAGTGGGCAGCCTCTGGGAACTTAACTGAGGAAAGTGGGCTTGCTGACAGGCAGAAGAGGAGCTGAGTGCCTTCGGGACAAGGCTTACAGGAGTGGGTGCCTCTGGGCACTTCCTTCAGGGAGCTGGGTTTGCTGACCCATGGAGTTCAGCTGAATGCCTTCAGGTTGAGGTTTTCAGTGGAGTGGTATGCCCCTTTGGGCACACATTAGCAGAAGTAACAGAACTTTGTAACATATCTTGATAGATAACTAAACCCTGAGCATTCTTACTGGCATTAGAACTTGTTAACCTCCTTAATAAGCCCTTTCATAGTGATTTTTTCCCTCTCAGTTCATGTAGCCATTGCAGTGGCCATTAGAATCCTGAGGCGTGCAATAGAGAACACCAACACAACACACTGGCTGCCAAAGAGGCAGAGATGAACAGCAGAAGTGCAGGGCACTTTTAGGGCAGCAGCATTATTCTGTATGGTTCTGTAATGGTGGACACATGATACATACATTTACTAAAACCCATAAAAACAAACAACTCACTGCCCATCAAGTTGATGCCGACTCTTACCGACCCCATAGGGCAAGGCAGAACTACCCCTGTGGGTTTCTGAGACTGTAACTCTTTCTAGGAGTAGAAAGCCTCTTCTTTCTCCCGCTAAAGCCCATAGGATTATAAAACCCAGTGTGTACTCCGATGTAAACTATAGATTTCATCAACAATACACCAATACTGATGAACTGCAGTAATGTAACAACATAGGCAGGCGCAATGTTGACAATGGGAGAAAAGGGGGGTGTTGCTGGGGGGTGGGGGTAATGATTTACACCGGACAGCTTCCAATGCATCCGGTTAATTCGGTTCCCATCTCAAAGGAAGGTGATTTCCTGGTTAGCTGATATGAAGGGCAAGGAGAACGCCCAAGTTCAACACATGTTGTCTCTAATACCATTAAGTTCAACAGGGTGCTAGGCCTCTTTTTGGATTTGGGGTGGTAGGAGGGCTAAAAAGAGCGTGTTTTCCTTAATCAACCGAGGAATTGAGGATTGTGACTCTAATCCATAGTCCCATGAGCTTTTATTTGAATTTTGTCAGATGATCAGTGGTGGTGTGGGTTACACAGTGAGCTGTTACCTTCAAGGTCAGCTGTTAGAACCCACCAGCTGTTCCTCATGGGAAGATGAGACCGTCTGCTCACAGAGATTTCTAGCCTTGGAAACGCACAAGGTGGCCGAGTTGGAACTCTTTGATGGCAGTGGGTTTTGCTTTTGTTCTGGTGTCAGTCATTCTTGCCAACCAGCAGGCCACTGGCCTATGTGAGGCTCACAAAGTCATCAGTACCAGCTAACACCACATGCACCACTGAAGAGAGCAGCCGCCATATTAGGGTTGAGTTAAATATGTGACCAAATATATAGCAGGCTAATTTTTTAAGTTGATAATTTTGTATGGACATACAAGAGCACTCACTGCAAGACGTGGTCTTTAAAATCAACTCATTAATGCTAATCCTTTAGCAAGCCAATAAGCAAACAAAAGCCCAGAAAAACTGATTAAAGATCAGACAACTACTAAATTGTGAAGATGAGCTTTCAATGAGTACTAAGAATATTGACCCCAAAAGCAAGGGATCACCCTCTCACCCTCTTCAACAAGCAAACAAAATTCTGATTAGGTTACTAATAACAGCATTTGAAAAAAAAATTTCAGCATAAAATACAGATAAAAGAAGTCATCTAGACAATCATTCTACTCTCATAGAAAAAAATTGTCCTTTTTTTTTGTGTGTGTGTGTGTGTGTCTAAATTTTCCAAATTCTGCAAACACAAATGAACTCTCCCATGAGGATAAAGGAAGCATTTGACTCTAAGCAACAATATATAAACCAGGAACTCTGAAGGTATGCTATGAAGATATTGAAATTTCTTCATCTCAGACGGCATCTAATCAACTGTTTTTGTACCCAGTTAAACTAATGTGTTATTTATTAAACACCAGGGATATGGCCAAAGAGTAAAACGCAAGAGTATATTTTTAGCACTGTCAAGATGTAAAGATATCTTGAAAAACAGAAGATTCCAACTTTTTGGATGGTCATATCCATACAGATACACACCTTCACAATGGTAATCAACATAATTCAATTAGCTCCCTCATCTGATTCCATACCCATGAGGCAATCTTCAGAGGGGAACAAACCTGTGCTGGAGCCTGCTTATTGCCTCCAATATGCCAGTCCCTCCCTGGTGGCGCAGTGGGTTATGAGCTGGTCAGCAGTTTGAAACCATCAAGAGATACAGTCTTGGAAGCCCACATAGGCAGTCCGACTCTGCCCTAAATGGTCCCTATGAGTCAGAAATGACTCAATGGCAGTGAGTCTTCTATAATTATAAAGTATTTACAAACTTGGCATTTTAATTGAGTATATGACCACTCCGAAAAAAGGCAACATTTCATAGCCTTCTATGCAGGAGACATGATCATTGTGGTTTATGTTCTAACAACTGTGAACAAAAACTTGCAAGTTTTTCTCTCAACACAGGTTTTCTCAATCTTGGCACTATTGACATTTTGGGTTGGATACTTTTTTGGTGTTGAGGGCTGGCCTATATAATGTTTAGCAGGATCCAGTAACAAGCCCAACCTTCTATGGGGACAACCAAAAATGTCTCTGTACATTGCCAAATGTCCTTCTGAAAACCACTAATCGGAAGTGGCATAATTGAAATATAGATGTGGTTCTAAGTCATGCTCAACCACAGAAATAGAAGAATTTAGAAATAGTACGGGAATAAAATAAAAGAAGCCTGAGACCTTGACTCCATCGAGTTGCCACAATGAACTGATGTCAGTGATGCCCAAACTGATCCTTAAGGAAGAAAACCAATCTTCTCTTACCTTGTAAATCAGGACAAGCTCTGGATTCCACGCTAAAATATTTTGCTGCTTGTTTCTGGACAAACCAGTTTTCCCCATTCATTTACTAATTGTCTATGGCTACTTTCTGCTACTGAGACAAAGTCATGGCCACAGAGAACATGTGGCCCTCAAAACCTAACACAGTTAGTTATTAGCTGATATTTCACAGAAAAAGTTGTGACCTCTGACAAATAAGAGCAACTAGAATTCACTGATACTGGTGGCACTTTCTACATTTAATCTTCAAGATTACTTTAGGAGATACTGTTATCATCTCATTTTGCAGATGAGAAAGCCAAGGCAAAGAAATGGAGTCAACCAAGAACTGTTCACAGGCATGGACAAAAACCAAACCCAACCTCCACAAGCCTGCTCTCACTGATCAAAGGGGCAGGAAAGGAATAGCCTAGCAGAGACCCAGCACAGGACTCCCGACCTGCAGTCGCAGACAGGCCCATTCTGCCTGGACAGCAGCACCAATGAGAAGCAAATGGGAACTTTATCCCACACACACTCCCAGTGTAGTGCAGCAGTGTATCTACTCACCCACGCCACCCACACCTGGCAAAAGGCAACCAAACCCTGTTCCTTCCATCCCACAGATCATATTGGCAGGGATTAAGTAGAAGCCCTGTGGTACCAGAAGGCCCACAGAGTAGGTCTGGAAACGCACTAGCCACCGCACAGGCCCAGCACCTCTCACCTTCCATATAACAGCACAGGCCCAGAGGCATCACTCCACACTGAGGTGTGGCCTCAGGACATATTGAATGGGAGCCCAGGAGGGTCAGATGAACAAAGTAGAAGGATCAACACTGCCAGGGCTCCAACCATCAAATTTTTATTGGACCATAGCCCACAAAAGCAGGACAGAACCTACCTATGAAACCCACACAAGCGAACTGCCTGCTACGTCACTGATTTTAAATAGGAGCATCGAGAGTCTCCTAGCTAGAAATGATCCTTCATAGAACCTTCGGGGAAGGTTAAGGTCCTGCCAACACCTTCATTTGGGACATCAAGCCTCCAGAACGGTTTTAAGCCACCCCAAACACAAGCAAACGAAAGTCTCCTAAAATAAAATCCAAAATGTCCAGAACAGAATGAAAAAACAAACAAAAAACCAAAAATCACTCAGTATGCCAAGAACCAAGAAAAATATAAGAAAAGATAGTTAACCAATGCCAAAAATGCATATGACAAGAATGTTAAAGCAGTCATTCTAAAAATGTTTCAATTTATGCAATTATAAATTCTCAAAACCACTTACATAATAAAAGAAAATCTCGGCAAAAAATGCTATTTCATAAACGAAATGACTGAACTGAGAAACTACAAACTTAAATGAGAAAACTAGAAAGAAATTACAGGATGGGTTCTACAGCAAGATGGAGATGAGACAAACAGAACTGGTGAACCTGAGCCTACAGCAGTAAAATTTACTTTATCTGAACAACAGAGAGAAAATAAGACTTGGGAAGGGGGGATTTTCAAGCCACTATTTCTTTTGAGTCCTTTTGTTATTGTGCCAGAGTTCAAGACTTGGGCCCAAAAGACCTAAAATGAGTATCACCAGAGGCCCCCAAATAAAAAAAAGAGTATGGAGTTTAAAACGCCAAAAAAAAAAAGCAAAAAAAAAAAAAAAAAGCTTGAAAACTTCCCAAATTTGGCAAAAGACAAAAAACCTACAGACACATGAAGCTTCCATAAACTCAATGCAATCATGTGGATGCCGACTCATAGAGACCAAGTCTCAAATAAGAGAAAGCCAAATAAATCCAATTCATGACAATTGATAATTAACTTTCTGAAGACCAAAGAAGAAAAAATTCTTGAAAGCAACTAGAGGTAACCAACATATATAAGGCATTAATTCCATTTAACTCAAATGATAGCAGATTTCCCATCTGAAATCCTAGAGGCCAGAAGTAGAGCTTCTTTCCAGAGTTGACAGAAAAGAATTATCATTCACGAATTCTATAGGCAGCCAACAGAAAATGCCCTTCAGAAATGAAGGGAAAATAAAGAGACATTCTCAGGTGAACACAATCCAAGGACTCAACATTTGGACAACACAGAATCCAGCCCCATCTGAATTCTTGTCATCTGTACTCAGAGTGAAGAGATGTAGGCAGTCACTAATACCTGCAGGAACAAATGTTTCATGGCTTTTAAAATACTTCATTAGAATAATTTAATAATTTGGGGAAATGCTCATGATGCAATGCCAAATGAAGGGGTAGAGATAAAACTACATATAAAATATTATTTTTAATATTTTTAAGCACATAAAGGAAATTGGAAAGCAGTATTCCAGAATGCTATTAGTGACTGTTTCCCATTTTTATATTTTCTAATTTGACTAAAGCATACACTTGCTATTTTTTAAATGTTTATTAGTGGAGTAATAAAACCTTAACTATAATGCAATGAAACTAGTGATACAAAGAACCATGCTTACTAACCCTCAGAAAATAAAATGAATTATGAAAAAGCATGGGGAATGGATTCAATGCCATGAAATCGCACATTACTGCTGCACTTATCCCCAAAAGAATCTTGTCACTCACATACCTGTGAATCTGCCCATTTTTATGCAAGTATTCCAATCCTTCCAGCACTTCTCTGAGTATTGTAGCAATGGTAGGTTCATCTAGGACTCCACTTTTGTGTTCTCCCTTTGCCACAATGTACTTGATAATATCCAGAACAGATCCTGAAGGCAGAGACAGTTCTGCATTAATGCTTAGCCCATTAATACGATTCAGAGTCATTTTAGATTTGAAACACATGCAGAACATTTCATAAACTGTGCAGGAAGAGGGGGAAAGGCAGAAGCTTAAAATTAATGATTTTGATCTAAATCAGAAAGCAGTCCGTTAATACCCCCAAAATAGTGTAACATCAACATCTTCTTCAGATGCTAATGAACATTTGGAAGACATGGTAGATGATTTTTAAGCATCTTGGAAGAATCCCTAGGTAAACCATGCCCTATCACCAAAGTAATGAAGGCTTCTGACACCAGATGATACAATGTTACAGGGAGAAAGGAAAAAAAACAACCCTTGATTAAAATGAAGATCTAATTCAGGAATAAGTACTTGGAAAGTAAAGATTATGATTTTACATAAAGTAATTTATGGTCTAAAATTATTTTTAAGGATAATAAATTAGAGGTAAAATAAGGCAAAAAAATCTAGAGGGGAAAAAAAAGTCACAGTCCAGATATAATAATAAGCATTTTAAATCTATTGAGCCTGTTTCTTCTGTTGCTAGGTGCCACGGAGTCAGTTCCGACTCAGAGCGAGCCTATGTCCAACAGACACACTGTCCAGTCCTGCGCCATCCTCACAACTGTTCTATGTCTGAGCCCATGGATGCAGCCACTGCGTCCATCCATCTTGTCAAGGGCCTTCCTCTTTTTCTTTGCCCTTCACTTACCAAGCATGATATTCTACGCCAGGGACTATCCCCTCCTGATAACATGCCCGAAGTGCACGAGGTAGAGTCTCACCAGCCTTGCCTCTAAGCACCATGCTGGCTATATTTCTAAGACAGAGTTCTTTGATCTTTGAGCAGCCCGCTGTACTTTCAATATTCTCCTTCAGCACAATTCAAGTACATGGATTCTTCTTCTGTCTTCCTTAGTCCATGTCCAAATTTCACAACCATCAGACGCAACTGAAGATACCATGGCTTGGGCCAGGCACACCTTAGCTCTCAAGGTAACATCCTTGCTTTGTAAAATTGTTATGTCTTGTGCAGATTCACCCAGTGCAACCCATAATTTGATTTCTTGACCACTGCTTTCCTGAGCATTAATTATGGATCCATGCAAGACAAAATCCTTCACTTCAATCTTTTCTCCATTATCATGATTTTATCTATTGGTCCAGTTGTGAGGATTTGGGGCTTCTTTACATTGAGTTGTAATCCATACTGAAGGCTACAATCTTTCATCATCATCAGCAAGAGCTTCAAGTCCTCCTCACTTTAGCAAGGACGGTGTTATCATCTACATTTCTTCTTAGGATAAGAAATAATTCTCCTACAGATAAAAGGTGGGACCATTGTGCAATAATTAAAATCACATTATGCCGACTACCCATACTAATTGTTACCATTACAAAATGCACTACAAATGCATATAGGACAATGACCCATAAGGATCAGAGGCAAAATAAAACTCTCCAATATTAGAAATGGTGCCAAGTCATATGGAACAGAGTGTGAAGCATGACCAATCCATAAGAAAAGAGCAAAACTGGGAGAATCAATAGTCTCAACACTAGTCAAATGATCAAAATATCAATGTGAACACTGAATCAAGAAAACGGGCAGAATATATATAAATGGTGAGAAAGTAGGGGGGCTCCACCTGGTCACACCCCACCATCCTCTCTGGCTCAGCTCTATTTTGTGGCCGCTGCAGTGACTAGTCAGTCCCCTCAGGTAAGGAGTCCCTGTAGGAGGAAAACACCCTGGCAGTGGAACTCAGATTCGGCACTAGCAAGGACTCTGCAATGGCTATTGCTCCAGGTGAGGTGCTGGTCCTGCTGCTAAGAGCTGGCACTCTTGAGTGGGGAATCTGATAGTCTGTGACAATTACCACCGCCCCCCCCCCCCCAGACTGGACATCTGGTGCTACGGATCCACAAGTGGCACCTGCAGATGAAGAGCCTAACAGTGAACCTGCCTCGGCTGCTGCTGTCCAATGGCGAGCCCAGGGCTCGAGCTGCACAGCGGACACTCCGAGGCAAGGAGTGTCTCATGAATTGGCAACAGCTGGTACTCGAGGTGGGCAATCTTGTGGGAAATCTGTCAGATGAAGAGTCTAATCAATGACAGCCAACACTGCCAGAAGAGACGTGCAGCAGTGTCACAGCTGGTGCTCCCATGCAGTCTGACACTGCAACGGCACAGTCCGAGCTCCTTCCTGATCGTGGTCCTGGCAGTTGCTCCAGGGCAGAGTTTGGGGTTGAAGTGGCACAACCAGAACCCTCATTCTTGTAACCTAGAGGTGAAGCAATGATTACCGGATTAAAAGATAAAGACTCATACCAAAGAGAACATACTTTGGAGATTCTCAAAAGGGGGAGGGCAAACGAGGGGGGCGAGCGGGCAATGGGGTAGACTCTTGGCAGGTGTTGACTTGGCTGAAATGGAAGATGCTGGTCCATGGAGAGGAATATAGGGGAAAGAGATGGGTGGGAGGGTGGACTACTATTGGAGGAGTGTGATTCATGTTTGAACGGATGAATGTAGTTGATGATCTGAAATGTAAACCCTCACCTAATTTATAACAAAAACCTGCTTATTAAGGAAAACAAGAGCAAAGCCTAAGAAAGTAGAAGCAGCTGATTTCAGAGCTGCCACAGTGAAATTGGCAAATGCTCCAGGTTCATCAAAATATGCGAAGAAACAGGAAAGAACAGCCCATACAAAAGATTCAAATAAAATGATGGAAAGTATTCCTGGGTAAAAACAGTGAACTTACTAGACAAGGACCATAAAACGACAGTGTCCTGAAGGAGCTCAAAGAAAGAAGGAACAGAATACTAAAGGGAACCTTGGAAACGGCCCAAGAACAAAACAAGAATGCCAATAGAGAGAGAAATTATAAAACAATATTAACAGAAATGCTGGAGCTAAAAACTACAATGAGGGACAAAGATTACCGGAGAGCCTCAACAGCCAATCTGAACTGGCACAAGAAAGAATCCGCAAACTTGAAGATGGGACAAAGGAGACTGTCAAGTCTGAGCAACAGAGAGGGCAAATATTGTATGATCCCGCTTATATAAAAATTAAGAAAAAGCAAATGTGTTGGAGACTAAAGCTTACTAATCAATACCAGGGGAAATGGGGACGAGGAAAGAAGAAAATTGCTCAGGGAACCGAATTTCTGTGAAAGATGATGAACTAATTTGGAAACAAAATAGTGGTGATAATTATACAACATGGTAAATGTAATCAATGGCAAGGAATTGAACAGGTAAGAATACGTAGCAGTGGCCAATGGTTTGTGATATATATTTTTACCACAGTAAAAAGGAAGTCTGAAGCATAACCTAATTCTGACTGCATTAAAGAGATTCCAGACGCATTTCCCTACCAGGCGAGAATCACAGCAGCTATTTACCGGCTTCTTGTGAAACCTTGCTGTCCTGGTAGGTACTTTTGCTTCACGAACTTGACAAGCACACAAGAACACAGCATATTGCCAAACACAGAAGATTACGCACACATTTATTTTGGTTTTCTCTAGAAATTCCAAAAGAAAGTAAAATAGGGGAGAAGATAACACAAGAGAGAAGTTAGCAATCTTTTTGGAAAGGAAGCAGAAAAAGTATTGGCCTAAGTAGAGAAATCTGAACTGCAGAGTCTTTATGAGGGGGGCCTCAAAAATTTGTGGAAAAGGTTCATTATTTTTTAATAAAGTCCCCTTGAGTAGGAAGTAAAAGTCCCCTTGAATAGGAAGTAAGTTAATTAGAAAAAAGGTAGACCACTTCCAACAGCCCCAGAAGACTTAGAACTACAGACAGCAAGTACCACGTAAGCAGTGATGTGAGCAAAGAAAACGGCTGAGAGCAGAAAAGCTGGTTTAAAGTCTGTATGGGGCAAGACTCCCAGATCCTTCCTTTTCTCCTGGAAGCCAGTCACTAAAATGCCCTGGTTCTATCTGTTCACTCACTGGAGACAACGAAGCAGAGAGGGTACAGAATCCAAATAGCTTTTCCTGGCACCCATTAAACTGGGTCTTCTCCCCGCATCACTACTGTCATCCATCCACAAGATTGTGATCCACAAGCAGAGATGTCTAAGGGCAAAGTTTAGCTTAATGAATCACACATTAATCCTCAAAGTAAAATGGTTATAGCCAGGGGCCACATTTTTCATTCTTCTGAGAAATCCAGGCTACATTAAGTACTACTTAATAAGAAGGCAATGTTTGTATAAACACAGGCCAAGCTACATGTTGGAAACTTTCAAAAAGAGTTAAAATAAGGAGTGTGACGGGAGAACTTTCTACCGGGAATTAAAAACTATCTTATTCATTTGGCAATTAATGAAACCTTACTATAGACAGATATGCTTCCACACCGTTTCAAACGGGGCCTTTTGAGTGTTGGGCTGATAAAGGCAGTCACTCTGCTGGAGCGAGAAGGGCCTTTCTACTCCTGTCCAGTGGTAGGCTGAGAGACTCACAGGGGCAGTTAGTTCTACCCTGTCGCCAGACCTGTCTTCCCAGACGCTGCTGCGTGGGTTCAACCTTTCTGCTAGTAGCCGAGCACCAAACAATTTGTGCCACCTAGGGACTGACACAAAGACCTCAGAACACACAAAAATACTTAGCTCTGTGTCTTTGAAGGGCTTCAGGGAGGAACTGGTGTCATGAGCTCTTAAAAGGATTTACATAGATTTCCTATCAGCTGGTGATCAAGAAGGAAACTAAAATATTGTATATCCTCGATTTATTTGACAACATTCTGAACAAGGCTTATATAAAATCCTCTCTTTCCCAGACATAAAAGTTTCTTTTCAATTTCAGTCTCCTTCCAAGAATACACTTTTTAAGTGGAGGGATCATTTTGCAACTAGAGCCTTTGTCCTTATATTAATGTGGCAGGCCCCCTTTCTTTGTCCTTATATTAATGTGGCAGGCCCCCTTTCTTTGTCCTTATATTAATGTGGCAGGCCCCCTTTCTTTGT